CGGTAGGACTCCTTGGACGGGTGATCAGCTCGTCGCAAGGCCTCTACCTGTACACAAACACAGAAAAACGCACACACACGAACTAAACATCCATGCCCTGAGTGGGATTCGAACCCACGATCCCGGTTTCCAAGCGAGCGAAGACAGTACATGCCTTAGACCGATCAGCTACCGTGACCGGCTATCGAAGATTTACAACCATATATTTTACATGATTGTCAAAGGAGATATTTGTCCATTCTATGTAAGAAGAGACTCAGGGGGCCTATATCTCTGAGAAAAGAACAAGGCCTGACTTTTATATTCCTTGAATTTTATGTTCCAGCCATCAGGCCATATCTCAAAAGCACTGAGACCTCGTTTCAGCTTTCTCAAAACAGAGCTCTCTGTGCGGTCTGCCGCATATATGTGTCATCAGCAAAGAGACCTAGATAGACAGCAGGTGTTTGGAGGGTATAGACTGTACAATGTGGGGGACAGAAGAGAGTCCTGTGGCACCTGTGTAAAAAATTATCCGCACTTTCGCCATGACACATCTTTAGGTTATCACACTGCCTTCTGGGCATGCATGCTTAGAGTTGGTACTACTGTAGTCACGTGATCGAACGGAATTGCTGGGGCTTTGGACATTTTCCATCATCCGGAATTCTAGGTAATAGAGGACACGACGTTTCGGAAACTAAACCTGTTTCCGTCTTCAGGTGAGAAAGGAAGACACCTACTCAGTTGGGCTCCTTAGAAAGAGCTAACCTCTATCATCTAAGCATCCAAGATGCTTTACGAGGTCGTCGATTTTCTAGGGACAAAGAAGTGTGGGAAGCGCTGCATAAATGGGCGCGCGACCAACCGAAAACTTTCTTCTTGGAAGGAATACGCAAGCTTGTGGACCGGTGAACCAAGTGCATCGAAAAGGAATGGGACTATATAGAAATATGACGTATTTGTTCAACCCCTACTTTTGTGTACATACGTGTAAATAGGAAAAACAAGAGTGTGGATAATTTTTACTTTCCTACGTATATCACTTGATGTAGATTTTTCACCTTCGAACGAAGCTTTTAATTATCTCTGAGAAAGGAAAGAGCCAATAAGCTTGAATACACTGATCGAAAATTGTAATGTAGATAATTTATATAGCAAGCAAATGTGCGTATTGTCAGAAGCTTTTACAGTATCCAAAAATAGAGCAGCCGTGGTTATGTTACTGTTACAATTTAAGGTTACGTGGTCCGTACATTGAAGTGTCATGCTGTGACGGTCACACAAACCAGACTGGATTGCATTAAGTAGGCCTTTTTCTTTAATGTGCCTTTGGACAACATATATTCAGAATAACTTTTTCGAATTTCCTGTTGTCAACAAAAGAGGCTAATCAGGCATCAATTTTTGGGAAATTGTTGGGTCCTTACCAGGCTTTGGTAACGTTATAAATTTTGAAGAAAGCAGTCTTCTGGGATTTGGCACCGTGTATATGTGGTGTTAACCGACGTTTCGGAGGAACGTATCGCCCCCATCTTCAGGGTAGAAGAAAAAGTATAAGAAATCTGCAAGCGACAACACCGTGAGAAACGGTAAAGCAGACATAAATTTTGTTTCCTTCCAAGGCTTTGGGAGTAGGACAGCCGAAGGCAGTGATTAAATAAATGTGTCAGATGTACCAGTGGACTTTTGCAAAACTCCTAAAGCAATAGTTTTGAATACCATCAATTCCACAAGCCTTTCGCAATTTCAATGAATATGCTAATTTATGCATGTCACAAGGTCTTACTTTTTCCCGACGGGCTGCCATCTATAGATGCGAGCAGCGCTTGGAATGTAGTCTTCACCTGTCATTCATCGTTTTCGTCACACAGATCATGCGATATGAACTGGTTTCCTGAACCATTCACAAGCACGTTGGCTTTCTCGTTCTTATGTTCGTATGTTATTCCTAAAGGGCCATGAACAGCGGTTGGTACCTTTGTTCCATCCCTTTTTAAAAGCAATTTCACAATAGGCCACAGAACATGGGATGTGACCTCACAGTTCCCTACTTTTGTTTTCCACCGTTCAAGTGCATTTCCACCGGTCATTCATCTGATAATTTTGGAGACCAAATTAAATACCTGTTAATATACTGGATCCCGGGTTACTTGTCGCACCTTCCTTAAGCTCCGCTATGTTTTAGCACACTCTCCAGACGAGGTAGATCATTATCAGGGCCAGGATTTTGATGACATGACCCTGGCAGCAGGGTACGATAGCGGTCACTCACACTTTGGCCCTTTCCAAGTTCTGTGCAAAGGAATTTGCTTAGTTATAAATATTTCTAGTCGGAATCCCTCGCTTTTTCTGACATATTGTTTGCTCAATAAATCTCCGTCTGTCTTCAGTTTCTCGCCCTTAGCCGTGCAGACAAAGATACAGTGACGAAAGGTTCTCAGTGTGAAAAGTTCAGTTCTGTGTTGCACTGGAGTGATTAATTTTATCGCGATGCCTAAAGCAAAGCCATCTAAATCGTGTCATTTAAAGTAGATTGCGGCTGAGTTTGGAGATGATACATTTTCAGCTAACTGTAACATTTTATACTGTAAGATGTGTGGCACAAAATTAACGGCAGAAAAAAAATGCCGGTACTGTACAACAATATATCGGCCGCAACAAGCATCTACGAACAGTGCAAATTTCGAACAAAAGAAATCTGTGCAAATGTTACTGCAACAATGTTCATATGAAGGCGGCAATAAGTCATCGGAGGTTTTCAAAGATCTGTTTGATGCTATGGTGTCCGAAAATATTCCGTTTTGGTCTCTGAACAATGGGGGAGACAAAAAATGGAAGTGAATTGTGGTTGTTCTATCCAAGATGAATACACCCTCGGTAAAAACTACCTTTCCAAGTGCTAAAACGATATCCTGGAAATGATTAGGAATAAAGTGCATGGGAAGGAGATTTTCGTTTCTACTGATGAGACCTGCGATACGGAGGCTCGCTATGTGGCAAATGTCATCATTGGAACCTTGGAAATTGATGGATCAGGTGAAGTGTTTCTGCTTACGAGTGAGGTGCTAGAATCCGTTAATCATTTCACAATTTGTAAACTCTTTGACAGGTCGATGTTTCTACTGGGGCCAGAGGGTATACGACTCGACATCGTCTAGCTTTTTGTGACCGATGCGGCCCCATATATTTTAAAAGCAGGCGAGTCAATAAAGTCGTTTTATATGAAATTGGTGCACGTTAGTTTTCTAGCACATGCACTGCATAGAGTGGCGGAGGAAGTGAGATCAAGATTTCCTCAAGTGGATGGTCTCGTGTCGTGGACGAAGAAGATTTTCGTCAAGGCTCCAGCTCGTAAAATACAATTTAAATGTATGGCTCCTGGTATTCCACTGCCCCCCGGAACCCGTCATCACAAGGTGTGGAACGTGGATTGATGCTACAATTTTCAGGCAGTGAGAAAACATTGTACATTCAATGAAGACGGAGGATACGAGGGCAATCGAAGTTGCTCAGGAACAGTTCTTGTGCAGCGAAATGGAAGGACAGCTGACCTTCATAAAGGCAAATTTCAATTCCTTGGCGGAAGGAATCAAATGTTCACAGGAGAAAGGAGCAACGCTAGAAGATTCGCTCGCCCTCGTGAAAAAAAAAAACGCTTGATTTCTTCTTTTTTGTTAATGTAACAAGGAATATGAGAGTTTCCACGTAGTTTTGTACGTGGGGTGCTCTTCGATTCACCGTCATTTGCCTCAGGTTGATGACTTTAAAGCCGAAGTCCTCAAGGCTGCTGAAAATCTTTTCCTCTGTAGTGTCCGGGGAAAGGCGACGGATTACTTCCTTCATAGTCTTTTCGAAAATCGGGCAGAAGTTTAGAGAGTGGTGATTATTTTACTCCCAGTAGGATTTCATGGCTGTATAATCCGCCATTTCTTTTGTTATTATATGGTTTCCATTTCATATGTTTCGGAACTCGTACTCTCCTTCCACGTTTTCTTTAAAGTTGGTTTGTAGTCGAATGAGGTTTGCGGTAGACGTCATCACTATTGGTAGCAGCCTACCCGATTTGCTTGGAGCCTCCTGCTTCGGTAGTGAGCTGTGTTCCAGTAGTCTCCGTATCCATGACATTAGTTCTGAGAGGTGCAAAGATGTTGCGAATTAACAATGTTTTTGGAGGCAGCTGTGGATGTTGGAAATGATTTAGTCGAATTCTTGTCTGTCTGCTAGGTATCATCAGAGCTAGGCCTCTTGCGTCTCTTTACTTCCCGGAAGTCGTCATCCTGGGCCGTTGATTCCAATGTGGTTTTTTACATTGGCCCACTTCGTCCTGCCTGTGCGCTCACCTTCAAGGCGGCCTTCAGTTCATTCAGTATTACCGTGTAAATGCCTAGGTAGCTCTAAGGAGCAGCTTCCCATATAGAATTTTGTAAAAGTTTGCTCTGTACTCCTTTGCATTATTCACAATAGTGGTTCCCTGAGCCACAGAGCTTTCCTCAACTTCATCGGATGTACATTCTGAAAGGTCTTCAATATCACTGAACACTTTTTGTACATGTTTCTACTACAGTTACTGCTTTTGGGTACTTGTTCGGTTTGGCATGACATTGAGATTTCAACGATAAAAGCTTCTGCGTCCACTGTTTCCGGAAACTTACTTGATCGGTCGTTAGCATGACTATCGCCTAGTTTAAGCCTATTATATTTACTGTATCTGACTTTGCCTTGTCCTATACCGCGTACATGTTCATTCTCATGGTTTTGTATGACTTCTGCTTGTTGCCTGCACAATTTTGTTATATGTATAAATTTATACATATGGATGTTGAAAAGCTGTGTGCAAATCGCGGACCGGTGTGCACCGTGGAAAATTAGGCGCAGCATGACTTTGGCATGGACGGCATAGAAAACACCCCTACAACAAATCCTCTATGTGTGTGTGTGTGTGTGTGTGTCAATGGTTGAGGACTATGCTACTAGCGGGAAAATCGCGGGTTCGATTCCCGATGAGGTCATTGGATTTCTTTACTTAAACCTTCCAGCCGCACTATGGCCCTGGGATCGACTCAGCCTTTAACAGAAATGAGTTCTGGGAGTCTTACTTCGGACCCTTGGGACAAAGGATCGCCGGGGATAAATGCTCGCATAATACCACAGTCGCGGTCTCGTGGTTAATGCGCTGTATCCTAGGGAAGAAGTCTGATTTCGAACTATGGTGTCAATATTTTCACTTAAGAGAATGTCTAGAATTTTATACGGTTGCAAAATTAGGGAATATATTAAGTAATGAAGTGCATATTTTGCATTTAAGTTTCCGGAGTGTCAAAGCTTGAACATCTGCATGTCTACATGTTTTCTTTAATTACATAACCTTATTTAGTTTATAATGAATGTCATGTAGTGTTTCATATGTATCGAATTAGGGGGTTAATGTAATTTACATCTAGCACCGATAAAAAACTACCTTGCATAAAGCAAACGTTGCAAATGTATTCATGAAGATTACATGTTACGAATTTCCAATATCTTGGCATCCGTTTGCTGTCCGGAGGAGTTATTTGAAGGCACTTTACATCCAAATTTTGACCTTTATTATGCAGTGCATCAGACACTTCTTTTTGAACAGACAGTTTAAAAAAATTGCCTTATAATATCTTCATTTTCACTCATTATAGTACATCTTAATTTTTCGTCTCTACAGTTTACAAAATTTTGACCAGTCCTTGGAGGAAATACAAGTGGAGATTTCACTCTACCAAGACTAAGTGAAGTGCCATTTCTCTACAGACCTTAAAGGCATTTAAATGTCACATATGTGTATTCCATTCTATAAAAGCAAGTGTGTGAACAAGGAATCCATTTAATTGTGTTACTAACCTAAATTTGGCAAGGGTTTATAGTTTATAGGAGCAGTTGCTGGCAGTGTAGGTCATTTTTAGTTTTTTTTTTTACATACTATGTGTGTGTGATGTTATGTTAAATGATAGAAATTCATTTTTAGATCTGTTACTTGATATATATAATAACCTATGTGTTTGCTAGGTCAATGCTTTGGTGGAACAGAAACATATGAAAAAACAACAGGAGTAAAATTTTCATTTGGTACAACACAAGGCATTCTAACACAACCTGGTACTGGCATCACAAGAGACTGCACTGCTATCTGTCGTCAGACTCCAACTTGTGCTGCATTTACTGTTGGTAAGCATGCTTTATAAGACAAATTATGTATAAAATTTCGTGCCTCAAAATGTATTCATTAATCTGGTAATGGATTGCAGATTATGAGAATTCAAGATGTCAGTCATACAACATGGACTCAACAGGCCACCGAAACAGTCTGCATGATAAAATTGGAAGCAACTATTTTGAGAAAATATGTCTTCGTGGAGGTGAGTCCAATATGTGTAATGTACAATGCCTTGCTTATATCAGACTTCGTATAAATGGAAACTGTAAACTTCTTTTAACTTGGTGCAAAAAAAGAGCATGTAATTTCTATATGACTAGCACATTCAGTATCTGTTATGTACAGTTTTTAGTGTTTGATAGGAAATAAATTAATTTACCTTCTGCCTTTTCTGAATCCATTAGATCAAATGCCCAAAACATGTGTTAATGATTTCCTCTTCCCTAAAAAAATGTGGCATATATTTGAAACCCCTTTATGAAAACTGCTTACAAAATATTTCATGTAATTTTCAGTTGTTTCACATGATACCTATTAAGTAACTCAGAAAGTGTAGTATTAGTATGGCTTCGTGATCATATGCAATATTAATGTAATCCAGCAGATCTTTAGTGACTGATGTTTAAGCACCAAACCCAACAACACTGTTTGATACCCTGTTACATGCTCAACATGGTCACGTTGCTTGATCANTCATTTTTTTTTTTTTTTTTTTTTTTTTGCGTAATGTGACTCATGGTTAGGTACCTAAGATCCAGTGTGGCCCTTCAGTGCTATGAAGTGGAAATCCTTGCTTTACACACGTGGCAAGATTGTTTACATGAAGACTCAGACCATAACTAGGCTTAAACCTGCATGACAATGGAACACTGGAAATCACAGACATACACTGATGCTGTATATAGGGTTGGAACCACTGCTTCCAGTGTTAAAGTGATCAAAAATGTCTTAAACCATTTGACGACTGTTATCACCATTAATTTTATTAAAGTAATTAATTACAATGTATATTCACTAAATTATTAATTACTAATAATTACATCTTCTAGTTACCAGACTGATCAGATTGACTTTCTGTATCTGACATATCTGTCATTGTATTCAAGTGCCCTAGGTGGTAAAAATATTAAACTATGTCAGTAATGGTGGACTATATAACCATTTCCTTCTGGACAAACTTCGTCATTCACAGCATTCTATATATATGTAATTTCTTTGTTAATGATGAATATATTGATAGTTCAATGCATGTTTTGTGTTTCAGTTTCCAACTTGAATGCCATGTGCGGAGATCGTTTATGGGCATTTGAAAGAGCCGTAGGTGCTTTCTTGGAAGGCTTTGATGACCGGGAAGAAAGAAATGTGCAAACAAAAACTGAATGTGAAAAATTGTGTCTGTTTGAAACTAGTTTCACATGCAGGTATCAATATTAAAAGCTCTCTTTTTAGATATTCAGTGTTTAGGAAATATAAATTATCATTACAAAAGTGTTCTGCAAGATACAGAGCCCTTTTCATGTGTAACTTATTATTACTTAAAATAAACTGATGGAAGTTTTTTAAATTTGTAACCATGACATAAAGAACATGTTTTATGAAGAACAAAAGCATGTATTTGATAAATTCGTGAAGTACCCTATGAAAATTTTACTAGGAGATTTCAATGCCAAAGTAGGGAGGGAAGACATTTTCAAACCAACGATTGGGAATGAGAGTTTGCATGAAATTAGTAATTATACGAGTAATGGAGTTAGAATAATAAACTTTGCCACATCAAGAAATTTTACTGTCAAAAGTACAATGTTCCCACATCCTAACATCCATAAATTTACTTGGACGTCTGATGGGAAGATACACAATCAAGTTGACCATATTTTGATAGATAGGAGACAGTATTCAAGTATACTTGATGTCCAATCATTCAGGGCAGCAGATTCTGATATTGACCACTACTTGGTGGTGGGAAAGGTTAGGGAAAGACTGGCAGTGAGGAAACAAATAATGCACAGAGTTCATATGGAGACGTTCAATCTCGAGAAATGAAATGAGGTACAAGTTAAGGAGCAGTATTTTGGACCCAAGAGGGATGAAGTGACAGAGGTTGGGGAAAACTGCACAATGAGGAACTTCATAACATGTACTCTTCTCCAAGTATAATTAGAATGATCAAGTCAAGGATGATGAGGTGGTTAGGGCATGTAGCATGAATGGGGGAGACGAGGAATGTGTATAGAATGTTGGTGGGAAAGCCAGAACGAAAGAGACTACTGGGAAGACCAAGGTGTAGGTGGGTGGACAGTGTTAAAATGGATCTTAGAGAAATAGGATTGGATGGTATGGATTGGATTGATCTGGCTCATAATAGGTACCAGTGGAGGGCTCTTGTGAACATGTTAATGAACCTTCAAGTTCTGTAAAATGCTGGGAATTTCTTGAGTAGCTGCAGAATTGGCGGCTTCTCATGAAGGGCTCAGCTCCATTACTGAGTGAGTAAGTAAGTAAGAAGGTAAAGAGCAGTATTGTGTTGAAATCTCAAATAGGTTCAGGGCCGTGGAAGACTTGGAAACTGAGGTGGATGTTAATAAAGCTGGGAAAACTATTAGAGAGAATATAAAAATGTCTGCCAAAGAGAGTCTAGGTTATTATGAACTGAAGAAGCGTAAGCCATGGTTCGATGAAGTATGCTCAAAATTATTAGATCAAAGAAAGCAGCCCAAATTGCAATGGTTACAGGATCCAGGTGAGTTAAATGGGGATAATCTGAACAATATAAGATGTGAAACCAGCAGGCATTTCAGGAACAAAAAGAGGGAATTTCTGAAAGACAAAATTGATGAGCTTGCAATGAACAGTAAGAACAAGAACATTAGAGACCTCTATAGAGGAATAAATGACTTTAAGAGGGGTGAACAACCTGGAAGTAACTTAGTGAAGGATGAGAATGGTGATATGCTTGCAGATTCCCACAACATTTTGAATAAATGGAAGAACTACTTCTCTCAGTTACTGAATGTACATAAGATCAGTGATGTTAGGCAGAGAGAGATATATATACAGCTGAGCAGTTAGTACCTGATCCTAGCCCTTTTGAGTATGAATTTGCTACTGCAAATATGAAAAGGTATAAATCGCCAGGTAGTGATGAAATTCCAGCAGAACTTGTTCAAACAGGAAGCGAAATATTATGTCCTAAGATCCATAAGCTAATTACTACTACTCGTATTTGGCATAAGGAAATATTTCCTGATCAGTGAAAGGAGTATATTATTGTACAAGTTCATGAGAAGGGTGATAAAATTGACTGTAGTAATTATCAGGGGATATAACTGCTGTCAATTTCATACAAAATTTTATCCAATATTCTTCTCTCAAGGTTAAGTCCATACATAGATGAAATTATTTGGGATCATAAATGTTGGATTCAATGTAACAGATCAACTACAGATCAGATCTTTTGCATTCATCAGATATTGGAGAAAGGCTGGGAGTACAATGAGATAGTACATCAGCTATTTGTAGACTTCAAGAAAGCCTATGCTTCAGTTAGGGGGAAAGTATTGTACAGTATTCTGATAGAGTTTGGGATACCAATGAAACTAGTTAAGCTGATTAAAATGTATTTAAACGAAACTTATAGTAAAGTCCTTATAGGTAAACATTTTCTTGATAAATTTCCTATCCAGAATGGTCTAAGACAAGTAGATGCTTTATCACCACTTCTTTTCACCTGTGCTTTAGAATATGCCATTAGGAAGGTCCAGGAAAACCAGGTGGAACTGAAATTAACGGGACACATCAGCTGTTGGTCTATGCTAATGATGTGAATCTACTGGGTGATAATATAGATACCATAAAGAAACTCACACAAACTTTAATTAACACAAGTAAGGATCTTGGTCTAGAAGTAAACAGAGAGAAAACTAAGTATATGTTGCTGTCTTGTCACCAGAATGCAGGGCAAAATCATGGCCTAATGATAGAAAACATGTTTTGAAAATGTGGCGTAGTTCAGATATTTGGGAACGATGATAAATTAAAACCTGATTCAGGAGGAAATTAAGAGGAGATTGAACTTGGGTAATGCTTTCTACCATTCAGTCCAGAACTGTTTGTCTTCTCGTCTGCTGCTCAGAAACATAAAAATTAGAATATACAAAACTATAATTTTGCCGGTGGTTCTGTATGGGTGTGAAACTTGGTCTTTTATGTTGTGCGTTCAAGTTCTAAGGTCTCTGATTTTTTTTCTCACACAATAATCATACAAAAAAATTTGAAACTTCTGTCACTTTTCAAGGTAATCTCCCTGCAGCTGTACACATTTTTCACAACATCGACGCCATGATTCCATGGCCGCTGTGAACGCTTCTGTAGGAGTCTGTTTTGACCACTGGAAAATTGCTGATGCAATAGCGGATTGAAAAACGGCATCCATGTCTCATCCATTGTCACAGTTGATGAAAAGAAAATCTCATTCATGCTTTCATCACGTGTCAACACGCCTGGCAAATTACCATGTGTGCAGACTTGTGGTCATCCGCCAGAATTCGCGCCACCCACCTGGAGGACACTTTCTGCATTCACAGGTCTTCATGCAGGATTTTGTGAACAGATCCCACGGAAATGCCAACTTTGGAGGCGATGTTTTCCACACTCAATCGGCGATCCTCCAAAACAACTTTCTCAACTCGCTCAACCATGTTGTCAGACCGGCTGGTGCGAGGCCGAGATTGTTTTGGTTCGTTGTCACACGACGTTCGGCCTTCTTTGAACTGTCGCACCCATGAACGCACATTTTTCACATTCATGACACCATCGTCACATGTCTCACTCAGCTGGCGATGAATTTCAATGGGTGTCGCACCACGCAAGTGGAGAAAACGAATGATTACTGGCTGTTCTTGTAATGAAACGTCGCCATTTTAAGTATCAAAGCACTCCTCACTCTCGCCACTACCACTAGAGTTCTGTGTGCCATAGAGTGTTGACATCTCTGTCAGGCATTCACAAAGAGTGCACACATATTTTAAACTAAACCGCATGTGTCTATCTGCTCCAAGTCCTGAGAAAAAAAATCAGAGACCTTAGAACTTGAAGGCCCCTCGTACATTAGGGGAGGAACATAGACTGAGGGTGTTTGAGAACAGGGTGTTGAGGAGAATATTTGGACTGAAGAGGGATGAAGTGACAGGAGGTTGGAGAAAATTACATAATGAGGAGCTTCATAACTTGTACTCTTCTCCAATTATAATTAGAATGATCAAGTCAAGGAGGGTGAGGTGGGCAGGGCATGTAGCACGAATGGGGGAGACAAGGAATGCATATAGGATATTGGTGGGAAAGCCAGAAGGAAAGAGACCACTGGGAAGATCAAGGCGTAGATGGGTGGACAATATTAAAATAGATCTTAGAGAGATAGGAAAAGGGTGGTATGGGTTGGGTTGATCTGGCTCATGATAGGGACCAGTGGAGGGCTCTTGTGAACACAGTAATGAACCTTCGAGTGCCCTAAAATGTTGGGAAATTCTTGAGTAGCTGTGGAATTGGCGGCTCCTCAAGACGGGTTCAGCTCCATAAGTAAGTAAGTAAGTAACATATTTCCACCAATTTATGAATTCATGTAAAATTACTTTCTATTGGGTAGATTGACTTAGTTGGTACTATGGCAAATTTAAGAGCAATATTAAGAATGGAGGATGTCATGCTAATGTAATCTACTTGATGATAACTTGGAAATAAGTTACTACACGGGTATTTCATATTGTCCATTTACTTGGAATAACAGGAAATTCAGTGAGCACTCATAAACTGTTTCATCCAGTGAAGGATTACCTTTCCAGTAAAACTAGAGCAGTTGAGCCTTCTACCAACCCCCATATCTCGATGATGTTCGGTCAAAAGAAAAGCTTATCTCTCTCTCTCTCTGACAAGCTTTATGATTTGTGACATATTTTTATTGTCATAACTTACATGGCTATCCTCATACATTGTTCCCTATGAATTTCAAATAATTCTTATTAAAGCCCAGGTCATTCAATCTGACTACAGAGTGAATATTATGAATATGTGAAAATGAAACCTGTTCTGAATTCTATCAGTCTAAAGCTAAAAGAATAAAAATATATGATTTCCTATTTGTACATATATAAATACTCGTTTATGGCCAAATGGAACGTGAAATATTGACAATCCTTAGTAAAATTCACTACTAAAATTTATTTATTATTGAACAATCCTTTCCATAACCTTGGATGGAAATTCAGATGTGTCTTCTGAAGAATTACGCTATATATTAATGTAACTAGATGACTACTAATACTGTGATTTGATTTCTAAACAAAATGAAACCCATAGAGATACTTCCAAATGCAAACAATGAATCAGAATTCTTGCTTTATTTGCTGATTAACATAAATCTGAAATATTTTGTTTAAAAATGTATCTAATCAAAAATTCTTTCATGTTAACTTTGTAGAAATATAAGAGGTAAACATTTTATTTTAGACACATTTATAATTATTATAAGATATTTTTGGTAAAGTAGATAGCAAGGTAAGATGTGAGCTTATTGAGGGCACGTGATATCAATAATTTCTGAACAACTGCAGTGAGATACACTTTCTCATCCCAGGTAAATGAATATGAGGAAAATTTGGAGGTTCAGATTAGCATGCCTTTGTAAAATTATAGCTTAATTTAACTTAACAATTTAACTTTTGCACATTTTTAATATTATTATATTGCTACTGAACACAAAGTCCCTGTTACCTTCTTTCCTCGCTTGACCACTGTGTTTTTAATTCCATGAAGGAATATCATTGTATCCATTGTCAAACACTGAAATTCATAAATAATATATAATAATAGAAATTAGTTGGTTAGAGTACCTCCAGACCTGAAGGATATTACTTAAATGCCCATGAAAAACTGAAATATCAGTAATGGTTTTATGAGAAAGGATAAATTACAAACAAGTTCTAATATTCTTCCATTTTGTTACATATACCACTACAACTTTTGATCTGTACAATCATCTTTAAGTGGTTTACATAAATGTGTAACTATCATTATTGAACTGTATTTGACAAAAAGGGTCTATATTAGTAAAATGTATAATTTAAATTTGTTTATGTATCATAAAAGAATCTTACAATACATTAAAAAATTTTAAATCAAAGTTGGGTAAATTGAATAAAATTAGTAAAGTAGGTGTAGTTGGGAAGTTTTGGTGCTCATGTCGTGACTTTTCATCAGTGTAATATATGTCTTTTGGGATGTGTGGAAATTGGCCAGCCTAAGTAGTTTTGTGTATTCCAGGCATAAAATGTAGCAGTGGATTTGAAAACTTTTTAGTGACTGGGTACATATTGATTACACAGGATGTTATGTAGTTTTATAAAGATTTTCTTCTTACATGTGTGTAGCTTTAGACTACTGTAGCAGTGTAAAACTACACCTTAAGAACACAAGTTATGCAAGACAGGCACAATATATGCACTAATATCAGATAGTTGCAGTAACCAGCAGTCCATACTGAAGCAGAACACAAACACACCCATAAAAAGAAACCTTCACAAACTACATTACATGCTGTGTATTCAATGTATATCCAGTAACCAAAAATTCTACAAAGCCACTGCTACATTTTATGCCTGCAATACACAATACACAAAACTGAACAATCACCACGCATCCCCAAAGACTAATATTACACCAGCAAACGGGAACAACAAAGTTCACCATGACATGCACACCTAATCATCCAGGCGACATCTATTTTACTAATTTTATTCAAATTACCAACATTAATTGTTACCTCTATAACATATTGTAAGAAATTCAAATGAAAATACATACATTTTGCAAAGTTGTACAAATGTGGATCCATTTTAGTCAAAAGCTATTCAATAATGGAGGTATACATTTATGTAAACCACTTGAAGATGACTGTATAGACTGAATCATGAATTGTATGTGTAAATGTAATATTAACACATTAATATCAGTTTATTTATTGACTGTTGTGTTGTCGGCCACACAAGTACCTCTAATAATATATACAACAGGATGCAAATACTAAAGATGAATATATGGAATCTCATCCTAGAAGATGGTAATCTCCATAATCAACAAAAATTTGAAACAGTAAAGTATGTGAGATACAGCTGAGATGCATATTAATTTCTCTGTCTCAGGTCAGCAGAATTTGATGAATCAATAAATATATGTCGATTGAGTCGAGAAGACCGGCGAAGTCAGCCAGCTGCTTTCCGTCGTCAACCGGGAAGTACTGTAGACTATTTAGAAAACCAGTGTGTTAGATGTAAGTAGGTGATGTAACACTGAGATATAAACATGTTTGTGTTTGAAATGTTATACTGTAGCATCATATTGTGCAAGATAAATTTTATTATTACTCAGTTGACATAATCCTGTTACAGAACCACCCTACGTCTTGCATATACTACATATTTTGGCCTATAATGGTCATCATCAGGTACATAGCCTTTACGACCACCCTTCCTTCTATATACTACACCTCCGTACACTTGCCAGTGTTTGAAAATAAACTTTTCATCATCATCATCATCAGTAATCTGTCAGACGACAGGTCCACAGTCTCTTCCAAAACAATTCCTCCACTTAATGTGATCTAGAGCTTTCTCCTTCAAATGACAGTATCCTTTTCTGTCCCCAAGGTCATCCAGCATCTTCTTATGTCTTCTTCCTCGTCTTCTTGTCACTTCTATCCGCCCCTCTGTCTTTCCTTCAATAACTTCTTCTAGAAGGCAGTTTCTGCGTAAAACATGATCAATCCAATTAGCCTTCCGTTTTCTTATTTCATGTAGGATATTCCTCTGCTCACTGACTCTAATTAACACTTCTTCATTTCTCACATAATCGGTCCAACTGATCTTCTCCATTCTTCTCCAACACCACATTTCGAAACTTTCCAGATGTTTCTGATCTACTGCCCTAAGTGTCCATGTTTCAGCCCCATACAGAGCTATGCTCCAAATGTAGCATTTCACTAGTTTCTTCCTCAAATTTAAGTCCAATTTGCTGGTAAAAAGATTCTTCTTCTTGCTAAATGCAGCTTTTGCCATGGCAATCCTGGATTTAATTTCACTAGTACACCTTCCATCATCTGTTAACAAGCTACCCAAATATTTAAAACATTTCACATTCTCCAGTTGTTTTTGGTCTATCTTTATTGTGACTGGGGTTGGTTGTCTCGAAATTTTCATTACTTTTGTTTTCTCCACATTCATTTCCATGCCATAGCACCTTCCAATTTCAATTAGTCTATCAATCATGCCCTGTAGCACAGTTTCTTCCTTAGCCATTAACACAAGGTCATCTGCATATTTCACAGTTTGAATAATTTGCCCTCCTAATTTGAAGTCACCGAGCCCATCCAGAGCTTCCTTGGTAAGGCATTCGCTGTACAAGTTGAACAGAATTGGTGATAAACAGCATCCTTGTCGAACTCCTCTTCCAATCTGCACACTTCTTGTTTCCCCACTGTCCAGTCGTACTCTAACTTTCTGATCCATGTACAATTTGCTGATCAATCTTCTTTCACGCCAATTGATACCTGTTTCCTTTAGGATCTGCATTAATTTTGTCCAGTTTACACGGTCAAATGCCTTCTGCCAGTCTATGAAGCAAACTTTTATATTTGATTATTATTTACACGGTCAAATGCCTTCTGCCAGTCTATGAAGCAAACTTTTATATTTGATTATTATCAGTCTTGAAGTATAAAAATATGAATAGGTGCTGAATGATTAAATTAGCAGCAATAAATATTATTTATTGAATGTTGCAGAAATAATGTATTTTGTATGAAAATACTCTGTTGCACATGATCAGTATAAATCTGAAAATTTTGCTTTTAAATAACATCACATCCAAAAATATTCTGCCACATTTGTATTTGTTATGTTAGACATTGATTTTTGTGTGTTCAGTTTATTTGTTATTTTCTTCAGTAGTGCAATAATTTGTGTTGTGAAAGCAACAGTATTTTTGTGAAAAATCATCTTCTTGGAATGCAGGAATCAGGAGTAGTTGATGTAATATGCACCAGATTTCTGTCAGCCCATGGTCACTAAATTTTTTAAACCTCAATCCACTCTGTTAAATTTTTGGATTACACTTTAAGACTATGCATGTAATGCACTTGTAACAACTCACACTTTGATGATATACATGAATACTTTAAAAAATTATTAGTATTTGCTCCAAAGTGAGAACTTGGACTCATATTCTTCACTGGAAACAACATGTAAATATTCAGATTAATGAAATGGTCTTCATATGATATATATATATATATTGTGGCGTGTAGACCCATTGCTAGGCAGCAACCATGAAATAAGTAGCTATACAACAGCCGTTGCTAGATAATGGCTCTATAAACAATGGCTGTTGCTATGTACTGGCTGCAACAGTAACATGCAACAATGGAGTAACTGTGAATCAGTGTTCTTTACGCAGTCCATATGATAGCTACATGATGCAACAATAGAGAAACTGTTGTGAGAGATGTTTTCTATGCTGCCCATACCAAGGCTGTGATTGTGAGAAAATCTTGAGACAGGAGTTAGTTGTGAGACATTCACAGAACATGGAAGCTGAGGAAGTTATGGCACTGGGAGCCGTTACTAGGCAACAATTAGTGAAGACACAGAAGACTGAGAAGACTTCACACATGCTATAGTGAACTACAGTGTGTGTAAATTAGCATTAGCGCTATAGTTACTTGTAGTTAAGCGGCCTCCGTAGTCTAGAGGTAACGTTCCCACCTCATGACTCGTGGTACGCGGGTTCAAAAACCTGGCGGAGGTCGTCGAATTTTTAAGGGCGGAATAATTCAGGGAACAAGTCCTCCGGGAGGGACTTTAAGCTGTGTGTCCCGTGTCGTAGCTTTACGGCAGGTAAAAGAACCTCATATCTCCAAAGGAGGTCACTGAGCCAAATTGAAGGATGTTTCCCGCCCAACAATAGTCTCTAATGCCTCTGATAGATGGGGGAAGCATTATAGACACCATCAAGCCAGTGAGGCCGAACTCGCTGGCTCGGTGGGACTGATGGTTTGCACCAATATCGGTAGGGGATAGAGACTGGTAGAATATCATAGAGGGAAGCAAAATGGACCAATACTGGTCTAAGTGCATGGGGAAACCCACCCTCTCCAATAACTAACTAACTAACTACTTGTAGTTACGATCTATAAGTATGCAATAAATAAAACTACGAATTCGAACCCCATCTATAGCCACTCAGACACATGATAGTATACATGTATATATGCTAATAGCATATCTTTGCCATGTGTAACATTCACCAAGCTAAAGTAGCAGGTTTGACTCAATGCATCTTCGCAGTATCCTCAACTGCCAGCATGTTCTCTTATGCTCCCTCCTCCATTTTCCACATGAAATGTCTAACTGAAAATGTCATTTGTGACAGCTTGGTCCTCTGTCTGTTGTAGCTCTGCCAGACTGTCGTTACAATGTAAGAGAAGGGACTGCAGTTATATCAATGGATGAACTTCAGTTTGCAGCAAGTCAAGGAGAATGTGAAGCTTTGTGTGATCAGGTAAACAGTAAATATTTTTATGAAATGTGCAAAACAAGTATGATGGAATTTGTTATTGTATTTATAAAATTGCTAGTAATTCTCAGTATGGTGGGTACTCAAAACCTATGGTTGAGATGTATAACTGATAACTAGATTGTCCACACCCTGATGATTATATACATTAGGGTGTGACAATAAAGTTTAAATAACCATACACATATGGCAATATTTATTTTCTTTTGAAGTCATTATCATGGAGATATGAAAACATGAAGAGCAATTCGTCAGTCGCATTATCATTAGCATTATCTGAGCTGAAGGTTTAAAGATTTTCTTAAATGTCTTCTACTCACAGCAGACTGCTAATTAAGGGCTGCCCTATAAGAGCAGAAGGCCATGCACTATTTTCTATACACCCACAAGCACACCTCACACACATGTACCACTTAACATGTTCCATTCACATGCCACTCCTAATTCTCTGCATGTGCATGTGTGTGAGTGTAGGTACACTGATATGTACTAAATTTGAGTAACAGATTTAACATAGGAACCAATTTAAATACACTTATATGCTACATTATGGATTGTTCTAATTTCTCTGATCTGAATACACAACTTATTTATGTATGACTGACTGGAATACAAAACTTTTTGACGCTATGTACATAAGCAGTTATTTTGAATCTGCCACTCTATTTAACTGTAAGCCATGTCATGATAGTGGCACATAAAACTGTACATGATTCTGTAACTGTTCATTCAGTCAATGAAATGAAACATTCACTTCACTTCACTCATAATAAAAATAACCCTAGGATCTGTACCATCTACACTTCCTATATCTGTGACATTACACTGGTTGCACAGGTCTCATCTCATGCTGTCACACATCTAACTTATGTGTACTCAAAGCAAGGAAAAATGTCATTTCATTTGGGTTCATGTAAATCGTATTTTCTCTTTGTTCTTCGACGCTGTAAACAGAGTCATTAATCCATACTGCCTTCCTGTTTCACTTTTTGACAAGAAGCCATCTTCCCAGACATATCATTTAAAGTTTCTTTTTTATATCTAAGCCCCCCACATTAATACCATAGTTGAGTTTTTAGAAATTGTGAGCATTCAGTGCCAACTGAAACGCAGTGGGTGTCTCATTTTACACAAAAAAAAAAAAAAAACAAAAACAAAAAAAACATGCCTATATGGTTGTGTTTTCCTACATCATCAGCCTAGCTAGGCCAGAAGAAGTCAGGCAAAAGGGAAACCAGTATAGCAAGGCAGGAAATTTACTGCATGGTGCAGTGCACAACAAATTATGTGCAAGTATATATCTCAGTGGTTAAAACATGGTGGGAAGGTGGAGGCTAGGTTGCCCACAGATTCTGGAATGCCAACATCCTCATAGACAAAGGTATGAGAGAAGGTGGATTAATGGGACCTTTACAGCCATAAATAGGTTCTGAAGCAATATAGCTCCTGCAAACATTTATGGGGAAACAGTGGTTGCTAGGTAGAAATCATCTGTTATGGCAAATTAGCTGAAAAGTACCCTCATTTTATATTGTGACATGATGCCCAAAGTCAGAATTTTGCTGAGGCATCTATTGCTATGCAATGGTTTGATAAACCACATTTCTGCAACAAGAAAGTATGCACACAACAGTAGAGGGACTGTTGGAAGGGATGTTTCCTAGACTGCCCATAACAAAACTAAGTAAAGAGAGACAGCAGTACTCAAAAAGACCCTGTATGGAGGTAGGTACAGATGCCTACACTGTAGCCCTGCAAGTCATAGGTGGTGACGAAAAGGGAATCCAGTGCCTGGGGTAAATAAATATGGGGAACTGGCCCTCCAAGTTGAGGGAATCTCAAATTTGAGACAGTAAAATATGGTCATGAGTCCCGCATGACTCGGACCTGAGAATGGCTGCACTGACGAGGGTCAGCAGCAATTGTAAATGACAGACCCATCCTTTCGTGAGAGAGGATATTACATAACGACTATAATTGCAAGTGTTCAGTTGGCCAAAGGAAATACTGATCGTGGGTCTCAAGGGGCTTGGTGCCAAGATGAACTGATTGGAGGTAAACCGTCAGTCATAAAGTAACTCTGACTCTCTGACCCAAAACAAGAGCCATCAAGCAGGGAAACATTAGGAAGAGTCCCTGCTATCAGAGGCCATCACCAAACAATGAGTACATGGAGATACAGCAAACTAGGAAGACCTGAAATATGTTGTAGTTGTTTACAGATTGTGAAGAATAATAGAAGTGTTATAATTATCTGTTGTTAAGAGCAGTAAGTGTCCAGTAAATTCAGTTATCAGTCTCAGTCCTGTGTCTAAGTCACTAACTCATGTTAATATGTACAGTGGTAATCAATTTACAGTTCTGAAGGTTCATGTCAATGTAATGAAGTCCTTTTTATAAGCCATACTCTTTCTACTGCAGTTCTAATACAGATTGGAAGAATAGGTTCAAATAAACACAAGATAGGCTAGAAACTACATTCACTGGTGTGAGATGTTGAACTAAATATTCTGAATGGATACCCCAGAAAATAAATTATGTTTTGGTTTCTATTATAAATAATGAAACCAAGCTTATTTTTATTGTTAAACATACAAGAAGCAACAAAACAGCTCAAGAGAAAATCAAGATGTTTCTTTGCAATGAACTGTTATATGAGATGCCTGGAATCCTTTCTTCCATTTCTTCTGGCAGGGTTCGTATGAGGATGAGTCAGAAAGTATCTACAGTGACTTGTTTTATTAAATAATACAATTACAATGAGTATGTACAGTAGCATAATTTTTCTATATAGTCCTCATTCTTTTGAAAAAAATTAGTGCAGAAACTTCTGTATGTCCTCGGAACAAAAAATATTTTTAGTTGAGTCACAAGCAGTGTAGACACCACTTCTTTAGATATTGAACACTGGCCTCTCAAAGCATCAGATTGACTGGAAAAAACAGGTGACAGAAGAAATCAGATCCAGGACTACATGATGGATGCTTCAACACCTCAAAGTTCTGTTTGAAGATGCTTTCAGTGTTGTTGGCAGCAGTGTGTAAATGGGCATTAATGTGCAGTATTGCAACACATTTTGACAACAGTCCTTATTATTTTGGTTTGAATAGTTGGTTTCAACTGGTTCTGAAGCATTTCACAATAATGTACAGTATGCGCCAAACTATACAGTACTGAAATGAAAAGACATCCTGTTCATACCACTGTCTGTTCATGTGAAGGCCCCTTGCATGACAAAACCTTCTCAAATCCTGAAGAAATGGTCCAATCACCACGTCCCTGTAACATTCTTGGGTGATGGTAAGAGTATTGCCTTCCTCATCCTCAATGAAATATGGGTCTAGTATACCGTCTCATGAGACAGCACACCATATCATCACATGTGTACTATGTAGCGGTTTCTGGACGATAACATCCGGCCGCTCAAAACCAAGAATGCGAGTTTTCTGGCGACCGAGCGAGCATTGACCCACTAGTCTCAGGGCTGAGCTGCTGAGTGTTCAGGGCATTGCACTTGTGTTCTCCTGCAAGTTCTTTTATTATCCATGTTGCACAGATAAGTATGGGATGACTCCATGAAGAGAAAAATACTGATGTGCAAATGATACACTACTTTACTTGTAGTCACCCATCGATTTTCCAGAATCATGGCACAGACCCATTCAGTGTTTTCCTCTGTAGTAAATGGGAATTGGCATTCAATTGTTCTTCGTCAGTGACACTTGTGTGACTGTTTTTGAACGTGGTCATCCATTCATACTCACTTGACTATTGTAAAGCATTGTTTCTATATTGTGCCCAAAGTCTGTGACAGATTTCTGAACCTGGTACAACTTCACCTCACAGAAATCATATCACTGCTCATATTTGGTGCATATGGAAAGCAGAGTGGCCATGTTAGCTCTTCTTTGATGGCACTTTCCAGTCAGTGTTGAAAGCTATTTCACATTCACATAGGAAGTTTATTATTCTGCCTGATTGCAAAATAAGCAGTGCAGCCAAACACAACAAGTTTAAAATAAATTACTACAAAACTTTCTGACTCACTTACATAGTTCAGTAATATAAATCTAGCTCTGAGTGTTTATAATTACTTTCTAACCACATTTTTTTTTTTATATAAACATTCTTCATATGGTTCTAAATTTGTGTTCCTTCTTTCCCAAGACAGTGCATCAGGTTGTAAATTTGTAAATTTCGAAGTAATACCCAGATATATTGGCCGATTAGTGTCACTGTACGATAACAATGCATGCATGCTCTGATAGGATACTGACTGGACGCAGACTTTGGACTGATAATTGGATTTCTTGGACACTTATGACTGGTAACTACATGAGATCATAACAGCTTCTCTAATTTACACACAGTATAAATCACAAAACCACAGCACGCAAAATGTTTCTTTGTTATTCTATCATCACTAATCATTGCTAGATAGTGACTGCTAATAATGGAGATTCCTCACAGCCAAACACAAACAGCCATTGTTCACGTGTGACTCGTGATGACAGACAGATTCTGAAGGGTAAATTGCTGCTGGCACAGACATTCTTGGTTCTGAGTCCCAGAGAACTTATGACCATATTGTAACAGATTTGATCAGCACATTGCCAGCAACAGCTCTGTAAAAACACTCCAACATGCAACAATAGATGAGGCTGTTTTCTGTCATCTGCACCGAGCAGCAGTGGAAAAATAAGGTTATTCAAACTGTTTCTAAGCAGTGGCTTGGTAAACACACTTCCGCCTAAGCATTATTGTCAGCAACACTAGAGATGGTGTTTTCCATGGAGTCTGTGCAAAATTAAGAGAAGTGAATGCAGTGGCAGAATTAGTTCAAGAGCAGTTATGAGTCAGTCATAAGCTGGAGGAGTGAGTCCAGAAGGATTTTTAGTTCCAAGTGACTGAAGATGAAATAGCAAGAAGACTTTATAGTGATTTGAAGTGCTGGTTCCTGTGTTGAGAACCGTTGCCAGGAGATGACAAGTGAAGACTGGGAATCCTAGTGCTTATGCAGTAGTGGTTAGAAAATGTGCAGATCAGTGCTACTGCTGTATTTAAGAGTGATTAAGAGAATTTGTAACCAAGGTGCTAATAAATCCCATTGTCCAAACTAGAACCCTTTGTTTTTGTCACACATATCACCCTACACGTGACAGTATTGTACTATCTCATGACTTTGGGAGTTGTGGAAATCTTGACTTCTGCATGACTGACTGACTGGGTCAGGTTGGGTCAGGTAATTTGCTGCTGGTCCTCGCTAGCACAGTCTTTTTTGTTTCTGAGTCCTGTGGGAGTCATGACCATATTTTACTGCCTCAGATGTTCCTTGTTACATAGCCTTGGCATGGACCGCATAGAAAATACCACATCCTTAATTGTAGCATCAACATCTGTTGCCACAGAAACATGATTACCATTCCACTGCCTAACAATGACTACCTCCTTCCACTATTCTGGAATTCAACCATCATGTCACGTTTTGAATTACTGAAATATTTCTGATGCATTGACCTGAATCATGATCAACCTAAAAGGGTCTTGATTTTGTTAGTTGTAGAGGAAAGTATTATTCACTTATGCATTTTAGTCTGAGATTTTAGCATGGCCTAAAAGTGTCAGTATGTGTGTAGGACATCCACTCATGTGATATGAGTACAATGAATAAAATATTCATTTGAACTTTATCATTCCAGTTCCTTACATAAATACTATTACATTTTAAAAATTGGCCCTGATATTGTCTTGATGTGGTCATGATATGAAGGTATTCCTACAATGTTAGACCCCTAAGTAGAGCTACTCCCATATACTGGACATGGTCAATTGAGACAGGGCATGAACCTACTGAAGGTTCTTTCAGTCTCTAATAGGCATGTTGTGTGTGAACACTGGCCACACACCTCACTTGCACACATCCATACTTGATGTGATGGAATTGAAATGCAATCAAAATAGTCTGTGGCATTGCAGAAACTGAGCTTTATTGATACTAAAGAAAATGGTAACTGCTTTCAGGCAAGAGGATTCACTTGTCGTGCATTCACATATGCTATGGAAGAAAAACGATGCTATCTGAGTGGTGATGATTCCATTTCACTTAGTAGTGCACCGTTAATAGCCAAACGGGATGCAGTCTATGCCGAGAAGCAATGCAGCATTAGTAAGTGCACAGCATATAATGAAACAGATTCTCAGCCTCAGTTTTTGCTAATTGAAATCTATGGGAACTCATAAAGAATTCTTGTTATAAGAAATTTAGATTAACTGAACTGGTGTGAGGCAATTGTAATGAAATATCATTTTGAAATAAACCTTTGTTCTCTACTTGATATATTTCAAAGGACATTGATTCAGTATCTAGTTGTATCAAATTTTAATGAATGGCATTTGCAGATAATATATCAGGTGGCGCTTCTATTCTGACTCGGCACTGGACTTAACTCAGATTTTATTTTGACTGATAATTATGTAACAGAAACCTTCTGTCCAAAAGCCGATTGCTGTCATTTTACTATACCGTATATGTTGAATGAATTTATATGTGTAAGGGTTGGGCCTTCTTGGCCCTTGCACAGCGACCACAGTGATCTGTTGTGTCTATACACTACATGTTACAACACACATACAAACAGTAGAATATGTTTTATTACAAACTATTAATAATCACTGCATGTCATGCAGTCATTGTCATGAAAATTGAGATATTTACAACTTCCAACATCACACAGACATCCATACATATTATATTATGTAACTGATTGCACCAATTACTCTAGGCCAGTGTGAAGATGGACTCTTCACATTTGAGAAGGTGACTGGTCACTTTCTACGTAGTGCTCAGCAAGTTGGACTGGCAATGGCTGCTTCACCTGGAGTAACACTGGAGTGTGGAGCGCGATGCCTTGAAGCAGGATCAGATTGTCCTGCCTTCACTCTAGATTACAATTCAATGAAATGTTTTAAGCTGGATCGTAATACGCAGGGCCGTGGCAGTGAACTTTCTGCCAGGGAAGGCCAAAGTTACTTTGAGAAAATTTGCCTTAGAGGTAGGTTACTATTTGACTGGTTTTATTTATGTCTGTACCCGAATAGACCATGCTTAAAACTACAATTGTTTCTTTTGCATATGCTCCATCTTCACTTCCCTAGACAGTTGCGCTTGTCATAATTTTACATGTTTCAAATGCCCACACAGGATGCTCAGTTTTTAAATAAGATCAACTCAGTGGATGACAAATTGGCGAAATGAACAAATATTTCATGCTTCGGGTGACAGAATACAGTAACATACCCCTTAAGGTTACTTTGGATAGCTGTGGAATTTAAACTGAAGATAATCTTAAATGGAAGAATTTTATATATGATATAAATTCTGTCCTAAGTGCAACAATTTATTGTAGGTCTTTCGTTTCGCTTTCTTCTGTGCTACGTGTTTTGGCCGCAAACGGCCATCATCAGCTGTATACACTCACATAGCTGTTACACTGCACCCAGTTTAAAATTAAAAACACACAGGTCTTTCCAATTGGCTAACAGGATCTACTTCGCAGATATTTGTCTGATTCGTACATCATCTTTGTCACCCACACATGTCAATTTTGACACTCATGAACTGGCACTTTTAAAATCTTCAGTTCCAATTTTAGAAAATTCCTTTAAAATTTTTTCCAAATTTTAAAATTTAAAATTTAAAATTCTCAGGGTTACTCACCCCATGTCTATAGTGCTGCAGCGGCTACTTCTTGTTTTCAACACTGTAATATCTGTAATATACACATATTTGTATTACTATCTTATGTACGTTATGTTTTCTTATGTGTTTATACTGTTATTTGTACTTACTCTGTGTAGGCTCCCTGTGTGCATGCCGCTGCTTATCTTTACTACATGTGCTGTCTGATGTATTGTGTGCTGTGTTTTATGTTGGTGAGTGTAGGAGGGGGTTGGGTAGTGGGGAGAGGGAGGTACCGTTAGTCTGTATAGATTTCATGTATCGTTTGAAATATGGGATTGTGTGTTTCTATTTGTGTGTCGTTCATGTGTAGGCCCTTCTTACTTATTTTATATATATGGTATTTCTCTAATGTATTCAAATGTCTACCCTTCTTTCCCGTTGTTACAACTTCCATTACATCTGTTATTGTTCCATATGCATGTCCCATATTTAGTCGTATGTGATTTGAGTACCTGGAATTGCTATTATTATTTCTAATATCATGTATATGTTCTTTATATCTGGTGTAAAATATTCGGCCTGTCTGCCCAATGTATTTCAATGGGCAATCTGCACATTTCATTTGGTATATGCCACTTTTATTGTATTTATTTAAATGTGGTTTTTGTTTGAGTATATTTTCTATTGTGTTTCATGCGCGGAATGCTGCTTTTATCTGTGTGGCATTGAAAAGTTTTGTGATTTTTCTTACTTCTTTTGTACTATATGTAAATATAGTACATGTAGTGTAGAAGAAAGCAAAATGAAAGACCTAAAATAAATTGTTGCAGTTAGGAGGGAATTTATATCATATATCATATAGAGTGTAACAAGATGCTTAAATATAATATTGAAAGAATTTTACACTGAAATTTGTGACTTGCGAACATTAAATGAATAAAACCCATAAATTTAGGAATATGTAATTGGGGTTCTTTTATATATTGTAACGTGTTTCGTTACCGAAGACGCCGTTCGGATTGTTAATTGGTTTATTCAACAACCTGCAAGTAACGGCTACAGTTAATTATAACAATGTTGCGGTGTTTTACACTTTATAACCCTATTCGCAATAATCAATTCACTCTATTGTCAGTAGTCAACACGTTTTCACAGTACAGGAGCTATATAAGTCCCTCTGTATCACACTCCCAATTAATTCTCAGTTACACACACGTCCGGTACTTCTTTCCGCAATGGCTGCTATATTTCAACTCGACTTGCAGGCTGCTGCCTGGAGAACTGTTGATAATCCACTTGCTCGACTGCTACTTAACTCGGCGACTGCTACGTTACAACTGACTCCGCAGGCAGCGCAGCTCTCTTATATAGGGGCTGTGTGGGCCTGTTACGTAGCAAAGCTGTTACCTCACGCCGTCTTACGTCACCGCGCGGAGGGGGAGGGGAGCGCTGACTCATCCGCCACGTCACTGTGGCCTGAGTTGCCACGTTGCTGCTGGGTAGGGAGGGGTTCTCCGTTGTGCAGCATGTCACAATATATTGAATTGAGAGACAAAATGTATATCTGACTCACTCTCTCTGCATATTGGAACATAAAATTATTAATATTCATAAAACATAATAAAAGTATTCAAAATTTCTGATCATCTACAAAATAAGAAGGACACAATTAGTTTCCCCCAAACTAGAAACAGACCAGACTAAATATGAAAGAAAATTATAAAAGAGTGATCACAAATAAACTTGAAAATAACAAGAATCAACTTGCTTCTTGCACTAATTGTTAAAATGTTTCTTTTTATAAAGAATCAGATAATGTTTCTCTGCCATTTTTTTATCATATAAGTTCTTTTTGTATCATACTTTGTAGATACGAACAAAACGTTGAGATGACCCAGAATGCACCATAGCAACGCATTATTAGAGCTTTCATATAATAACATTTGTGAAATATTCACAACTAAGGTCCATGATTCATTTCAAATAATATAAAATTGATAAGTGCAATACAGTACTAGCTAATATTATGATTATTATTCATTGGAATTTGAATAGGAAATGACTGCATCATGCTCATTGTGAAAGATTGAAAGCAAATTCCAGTGTAGTGAACTGCTGTATTCTCTGTCTTCTCATTGTACAGACAGTTTTGTAACATATTCTGCAGCATAATCTGCTGATTCTATGTTGCTTCACGATACAGTTTCTGTAATGCTTCTTCAGGGAAGATAACCCTATCACTGAATGTCTTTTTTTATCACTTTGTTGGAAAAATTCCTGTAATAAATTTTTAACCTTTCCCTATTTTTTTAAAAAAAAGGTTCTCTGAGATTGCCTTGCTTCTGTCTGTGTATTGCCCCCCCCCCAGTATTTGAGACTTAACAAGATCAACTTGCTGTCTCTCAGTGTATCCCCCTTTTTATTAGGAGGCTTATGAGGTCACTTTGCTACCTGTCTGTCTTTTTCCTCCCCATTTTTTTTTATTTCTCTGTAGTTCTTGTCATATTGAAGGAAAGTAGGCTATTAGTTCTTCCCAAAATATCTTGTTTCTGAGTACTACAGTGATAAATAAAATTGAAAGATATTCCTGTACTTAGGCCTTTATAGACTATGGCCCAACATATAGGCCTCACTGTGGAAGTGATCTTGCTCAGAGTGGAACATCAACCCTTCAAGTTAGATAGTACCATGTTCCACATTACCTCCCTCATTCCCCCACTGCATGACTCCACTTCCTCCTTTTGCCTCATTAACCATGAAAATTCACAGTATATGTTGAAACATTGAAACTGTTTAAACATATGATGCAGCTTAATCCAAGAACCAAAGTTATGCAACAGTGACTGCTTTTACTTCTTGATGCCTCTCTATGTATGGGACTACATTAACAGAGAGTCTCTGAACTTAATTTAATGACTGTTCTCAAGACACACTGATAGAAGTGGTGCACTAAATATAACATAGCTCACAACTGAAACTATAGAATCTATAAGTTTATTACTTTAGCAAAAAAACGTACACAGAAAATACAGGGAAACGGATGACTTAACAAATTTCTTGCTGTATATGTCCAATTATCATCATTAAAATATTCTCCGCTACAGTTCATTTCAAGCATTCGTCTCACATACAGGTTTTGTCTTCTCTTTCTTCCAAATTTCCTCACCAGGGTTCATATATATTAATTTTTTTATCTGTTATATGCTCAGTCTATCTTGAATACTATCTAAAGAACAAGGATTGTTATTTCGTCATGACTTAATCTTTCCATTTCCTAATCCTTTTAGATCCAAAAAACCTCCTTAATATATAGTCTTCCAAAACATTCAGTTTATAATACCTCTCTTTCTGTGTAGGAGATGAAGTTTTATGAGTGTAAAATGTAGGTATTAAATTGAAGTTACTTGGTTGTATTCTTCAGCTTTTGAAAAAAAAAAAGATGCAAGAAGAGAGAACAGATTTTGCTCTGTGTAACAAAGAATTCCTTAATTTTATTCTGCCTTTTATTTCAATTTAAAACTGAATTCTGTTGGTTATTTTCATTTGGCAGGATTTGAATTGCTGCAAACATTCAAATGACGTATTACACCACCTGCCTTATGTAACACATTTCTCACAGAAACAAGGAATTTAAGTTAATGTTTTAAATATTATTTTTAGGTAATGTCCGTGGATGTGAGGGCAGGGCTTGGGCATTTGATCGGCGGCCAGGAAAAGAACTTCGTGGATTTGATGATCTGAAATTGCCACTGGTGCAGAGTCGGAGGGACTGTATGGAGGAATGTTTAGCTCAACGTCGCTTTGACTGTCGTTCAGCAGAATATGACACACAGACAGCTGAATGTCGTCTCAGCAGTGAAGACCGTCGATCTCGTCCCAGTGACTTCGTGGATGCACCATCAACAGTGGAATATTTAGAAAACCAGTGTTTACCCAGTAAATATTCTTAGCTTTGACATTTATAAATATTACTAAATTGGACTGAGGGAGCTGGAAAGCTGAGTTTGTATATTGACGGGCTACAGTCTGGATGGCTGGGGTTCAATTCCCAGCAGGGCAAGATATTATTCTGTATGCCATAGCATCCAGACCGGTTCTGAGGCCCACGTAATAGCTTATCCCATGGGTACCAGTGGCTCTCTTCTCGAGGGAAGAGCAGCTGGGGCATGAAACTGACCACTCACCTCCATCTAGTGCCAAAGTCAAGAATATTGGAGCTCTAACTCCACTCCCCCTTATGTCTTCATGGTATAGCGCTTAATTAATTAAGCACAGGGACAACTTTATCTTTTAATGTTGGACTGAAATTGAATGAGACACATCAGCTTCTGGTGTACGAGTATGCTCATGATCACCCCATTATGAATTAATATAAACACTGTAGCTGTAATTGACATTAGTAAGGAGGTTGGTCCAGAAGTAGAAAGAGAGAAAACTACGTGTATGTTGATGTCTCATCCCCAGAATGCAGTGCAAAATTATAACATAAATATGTGGCAAAGTTTAAATACTTGAAGTGACAAAAAATCAAAATTTGACTCATGAAAAAGTTAAGAACAGCTTAAATTCAGGCAGTGCTTGCTACCATCAGACCTCCTCTTTAATTTTCTTTCATTTTTGATGTAACTGAAATGCAGTGAAATGTATATACACAAATCTATAGGAAAGTTTCCATGGCTTTAAAATTCTGACATGCTCTTCATAGTCACTGCCATGAGAACTTTGACTCCCGCTTATCTAACCACTGTCAGTAGTTTCGTGTAGTCAGTATGTGCTCAAGATATTATAAATGAGTCATATGACTGACTGGAAACTGAATACATTCTTAAAATTAAGTATATAAAGTATTTTTGTGGCTGCTGACACAACAAATAATCGATTAACAAATATCAGTTCTTTCCTGCTTTGTTTAAAAGTTACTATATATATATATACACACACACACACACACACACACACACAATGAATCTTAAATGTATTTAAAACCACATTGTTCTAAAATTGTTTGTGGAGAATGCTGTGCTAGTGTTTTGCACTTCTAATGTTTGATGTCTAGCCATTGCTATACATTGACCGCAAGATGGACAGATATACCAGGGCCATTTCTGAACAATGACTCACTAAACATGTTCTCGCCACAACAGACACAAACACAGCAATAGAAGAACTGCATTTTCTGTGTAGTCCATGCCAATATATTAAAAGAAAGGGACAAGGTTAGAGCTTAGTTCTGTACGGGAGTCTGTAAAGAGAGGACTTGAGTGTGTGGAGCTGAAGAATCCCCACTGTTAGAAGTCGTTGCCAGGGAACATTCTGTATATCCAAGTTACACATAAGTAGAAACCAGCCGCTAATTATAATCAAGTACTTATAATAACTTGTTCCATATCCTATGGTGTCTCACCTGTACTGGATTTACGGAAGGTAAATAAATTCAGTTCAATTCAATTCAACACACAATAGCTCAAGAACAGCTTACCTTAGATGAATCACTACAATATAAGATGTATATACATAGAACAAAAACATTAAGACACACAACAAAACACCAGTAAATAATGACCTATATACATTTATAGCAAATCTACAAGGCATAACCGCCTGCATACCACTCTATGTCGGCTATGCAGCAGACTTCCTTGTCTGATTAGCTGCAACAAATCTGCATATCCCTACATACCCAACATATGCATAAGTACAAAACCAACTAAATTATTATCACATACCAGCAGACTATTTTGCACCCCATGATATATATAAACATGTTACCGGTTTTTAGATATACCACTTCAGTAGGCACCTACATCAACAAGTAATTTCANCCCCCCCCCCAGTCACTCAATCACATAGCTTTAATAAAATGTGGTACAGTGTACAGATAGACCTATTCAGAACTCCAGCTGTTCACTTCTTTTATTTAATTGTAACATCCAACACATGTACAAACCATGTGCTTACTCATGACCAGTTCCTTTATTAATGACACACTCTAACAGTAAATAATAGATCCATTTTAACTTAACAATTCCGTGATGTTACGCCTCATGTATTTGTGAATTACTATCTCATGATGAACTTTCATGATTGAAACATGTAGGGGATAGTACAAAAAAAAAACTGAATATTAACATTTCAGTAATATTTACTTTTAGTAATTAGTTGTGTCAACAGACACCAGAATACCTTAATTCTGTTACATGCTACAGGAAGCATAAAATAGCTGTAACACACAGATGGTGGATTATCAACTAGTATTCAGATTATGAGAAACATTGTGGTGCTAATATCCCATCATATCATGTTCCAGGAAAGCTGATTCAGCATAAGGACTTCTGTCTCTCTCTCTCTCTCTTTATATCTACAGGTTTAGAATAGTTTCAAAGATTCAGCAACATAAAATTATCACAAAATTAGTCCTTTTGAAAAACATAACTTTCAAGAGTCCTAAATATAGTCTTCAGGCTTCACCAGAGTTGATCTTTAAGTCTTAGGTAAACTGTGGGAATCCCATAACTGAAACTGTATGACCAAGACCTACAGATAGCCACCTGAAATGAAGAAGTGCACACCTAATCAGATAATGCGTACAGTTTTCAAAGGAAGCATGGAGTACAAAAAGGGACCCAAAAAGAACGTAATTTGTTTCTAGAAGGCTTGTAGTACAGGCTTCCGCTGCTAGGTGGTTGTTTGCAGCACCTTCCTGAATCAGGAAGGCTGGTGTCATCAGAGAAGTTTTTGGTGAATTTTTTTACAAGTGACTTTTTTTTTTCTATTTTTTAATGGCTGATTAACATGAACAGCTTGCTGCTGTGAAATTTTGTTTCCTTTTGGGGAAAACAGCAGCAGAAACGGTTGTTATGCTACAAACAACCTACAATGAAGCCACCATGAGTAAAACACAAATTTAGGAATGGTTCTCCCATTTCAAACATGGTGAAATGTTAACTGATGATCAACCTCAAAGTGGACATCCTTCGACTGCCCAAACTGATGAAAACAATACAAAAATTCGTCAAATCATTCTGAAAAATTGCTGGAATTATTATTTGGAAGTTTTGAAAAGGTTGCATAACAGTTTAAGGGGAAAATGTCCCGATTTGTGGCAAACAGGTGAATGGTTCTTTCATCTGCCTGTCTGTCCACACAGCGCTGAGTGTGCAGCGATTTTTGACCAAAAGTGGCATGACACCCTTGCCTTACCCCCTGTACTCAGCCGATATTTCCCCGCATGACTCTTTTATTTCCTTGGATGAATAGAGATCTCAAGGGAAAACTTTTTGCTGATGTTGAAGATGTAACGAAAAAAAGTGACGGAAGCACTAAAAGGCATCACCAGCGATGAATTTAAAGAATGTTTTCAGCAATGAAAAAAACGTTTGGACAAGTGCATTGACTCAAATGGAGAGTTCTTTGAAGGGGATTAAAGTTTTATTGTGTAAAAATAAATGCATATTTTTTTATAAACAAATTCTGTTTCTTTTGGTGCCCCCCCCCCTTTTGTACATTCATTCATAAAATAAAGAATAACAGGTTTAATTATACAGAATAGACAAGGACAGTACAAACCGACTACAGACTTTCTACCATCCTAATAAAGCACTTCCTACTCTGTCAAAATCTACAAACCCATAGGTGTGTCTGTACATCAAAATTCATTATCCGGGTAAACACACAGCAGTGTACATATCAGAAATGAACACCCAGATAACTTTCTTCTTGCTATCATGTATTTCTACACATGACAGCACAAAGTATTTACACAGGCTTCATTGATTACTAACTAGTCATAAGTTGACATGAGTTAATTTCTCAACCCACAAATTTGCAACTCTTGCCAGTGCAAACATATAAGCATCAGGAATTCCAGAAACTCATCTAACCCAAATCCTTATCATTTCAGATTCCTTCTCCAAAAGAATATAATGTATCCACATTTAATTAGATGTTTAATGTATATAATGTGTTAGTTGCTAGACACAGGATTTTGATTCCTAATTCTGTTTACTGAAGGCTCATAACAAATAACTACACATAATAACAATTTCATGGATATACACATTACAAATCACTGTACCCGAGCACATATAAAGTCTTCTGTGTCTTCAACAGTCATTGCTAAGTGACGGTTTCCAATAATGTAGATTCTTCAGCTTTCCCTTCGCATGTCCATGCTGGATGATTATTGACTCAAACTGACTCATGTTACTGGCTCGTGACTCTCTCGCAACTCCTCATGGCCACAACTGACCCAGTTTCCTCAATTATATAGCTATATAGCCTCGGCACAAATTGCATAGGAAACGTCATTTCCAATAGTTCTTCTGTTGTCATTGTGGGTCATTGCCTGACTAGCCATGACTCACTTGTTAATGAAGCTCTTACACACAACAATGTTCAAGTGGTCATGTCACAGTACTGTGGCATGCAGACCTGTTGCCAGTAAATCTGTAAACAACAGCCATTGCTGTGCAACAGACACCTAAACGAACACATGTTCGTATGCAACGGTCAGGGTATTGTTGGATTATAGCAATGGTGTTCTCTGTATGGTCTGTACCAAGATGTTATAAGCATGACAGTTTGAAGCAACAAGTCAGTTGTTGTTTGGAGTTGTCAGCAGTTCACTTGAGTGAAATTACATGAAGCAGCTGGTTGGTGAGTAAGAGAGTTCAGCTGTCAATTGTCAGTTGAAAGTCAGCCTGTGAAGAGAAGACGGGGAGGTTGGTGTGAAATGGCCGCCAGCCTGGGACCCAGTTAGTTGAGTTGTCAGTAGACAAGAGTTCAGCACAGTTGGCTGTTACCAGAGGTCCAGAATCTTTTTCAATAGAAGCTGTTGCCAGGAAACGGATATTGGAGACTGTAGTAGACTGAGGACACTAGTCTGTATGTGTCAGTGATTTGTGAAGTTCCAGGTGGGTGGTGTACACAAGTGGTCAATTCACCAATCCATACCCCATCTGTAGGCACACACCTCTGAATCATGAGAGCACTCTAAATAAAAAATATGAGAGAAAGAATTTTGAACAACTCTTGATGAATGTTCATTTCAAGTTATCAAGTCATGACACAGCTTACACTAGTCTTGTGCCTGTAGCATGTATAGGACCATATTTATGTGGAACCTCTAACGGCATGGTGATCAGTGGACCCTTCCTTCAGCTCCCTTATGCTGCTGGAACAATCTCCGTCCTAAGATTCTCTCCATCTGAGTCTCAAGAACGAGTTTCTTTCTCACAGTTGAATTTCCTTTCCATCCCACCATCCATCTCCCTTTGTTAGGAGAATTCTGAGCCTGCATTTAAATCCTTTCTTGGACACGCTCTCTCGGTTGGACTCCTCAGTCATGTAGAGGCAGACAAGGAGTTACATAGAATGCCAACATAAAATGTTGCAATGTAACAGTCTCACCATTGGTATTATTGCTTCATACTTTCTCTGTCACAATTCTCTCTACCATTTTGAAATCTCACCTTATCCATGAACACTCAGGTGGAACACAGCCTTTAACATTCTCAGTAGCTGGGGTAAGATGAGTAAAATTAATTTGATGTTTTATGATGTTTTAGGTGAGTCTAGATGCAACTTCAAGTCTGTTCCTAACTCATATCCACGTTATCTTGACATTGTTCTCTCTCTCGTAAGTGATGAAGTGGACTGTGAGAGACGATGCTATGAATATTCTGACTTCATCTGCCGATCATTTTCATATTACCCAAGTGGAAGTCAGTGTTTTATCAGTGGTGATGATAGAGGTCAGTGTTTCTATTTTTTAATATAGATCTGTGTAGCACACTTATTTAGTGAGAGTTGTTGTCTGCGTTAAAATGATAATGCGCCGAGAATGAAATGATGTTAGAATTTTGATTGGTTGTTTCATAATGAAAGTTAGTCAGGAAGACTGGAGCCTAGGTCAGGATTGAATGAAGAATCTCCCATGTGTGAGTGAGGTAGAAGAGGTGTTACAGTTCAAATTATGATGGAATTAATGGCAGTTACAACATGTATTTGAATTTTACTGACATTCTGTCACCTCATATTTTATTGCTTTTTGGAAAACAACATTTTAAATCTGTTAATTGATGTTGTATATGCTGTATGTGTGATTATTACATGTCCATATCCTCCAAAATGTTGTCTAATATTATTCGTCACTATTTATCCTTTACACTTCCAATGAATATGTATATAGGAGGGATGGGCCATAATATTCTGGCCCTTGCACCATGACCTTCAATGATCTATTGTGCTTCTCCTTTTGACTAAACCTTTATTAATCCTACACTTTGAATGAAATATAGTGCTTTGTTTATGGAGGCATCATAGTAGTCACTTGGTTCCAGATGAGATGCTGCAAGCTGGTTCAGATCCTATGAAAGGCTCTTCAGATCCCGTTCTTGCCAGCTGATCTGTGGTTTCATTCCCTGCAGTAGTATGCAACTGAGATGCCGCAAGCTGGTTCAGATCCTGTTCTTGCCAGCTGATCTGCGGTTTCATTCCCTGCAATACTCTCCTACTGAGATGCTCTCAAGCTGGTTCAGGTCCTCTGAATGGCTGTTCAGATCCTGTTCTTGCCAGCTGATCTGTGGTTTCAGTCCCTGCAATACTCTCCTACTGAGATGCTCTCAAGCTGGTTCAGGTCCTGTGAACGACTGTTCAGATCTTGTTCTTGCCAGCTGATCTGTGGTTTCATTCCCACCAATACTCTCCTAATGAGATGCCGCAAGCTGGTTCAGGTCCTATGAACAGATGTTCAGATCTCATTCTTGCCAGCTTATCTGCGGTTTCATTCCCAGCAATACTCTCCTACTGAGATGCTGCAAGCTGGCTCAGGTCCTATGAACAGGTGTTCAGATCCCGTTCTTGCCAGCCGATCTGTGGTTTCATTCCCAGCAATACTCTCCTACTGAGATGCTGCAAGCTGGTTCAGATCCCGTTCTTGCCAACTGATCTACGGTTTCATTACCAACAATACCCTCATGGCCTGGCACCCATAGCAGTTGAACTCTGTTATGTCTGGCCAGTTGTGTGAGGGATTGGTGGCAGTCCCAGACAAGTATTGAGGTGATCAGGTGGTTGCCAAGTGCTTTACTTGCAGCTTGACTGTCTGATAGAATATAGATTTTTTGTTTCTATAGTTCCTATCTAGATTCTCAACTGCACATACCTTAATGTCATATGCTTCTGCTTGGAATACTGTCGTGTACTGCCTAAGGATAAAACTAAGTTTCTGCCTTGTACCATGGCAGTATACCCCAGCTCCAGTGCCTTCATTTATCTTGGAGCCATCTGTGTACCATATTATAATCCCCCCCCCTTTCTGTTAGGCTGAAACCCTTCATTCCATCCACTTCTGTCAGGGAATCTGACTGTGAAAGGTTTATAATAGACATGTCTCTGTATCATTTATGAGACCCCCATCTGTAGGATGGCTTCTTTCTTCTTTGTCCTGAGTCATGAGTACATGTCCAAAACCTTTGGATTTGGGTTTCTGTGTTGGAGATGTTCTCATTGCTCCTGTGATTCCCAAGAAGGCCATCCTTTGCAATTTGCTAAGTTCTGCCTGGCTTGTTCTGAATTCAACTCTGGGCCACCATACATTGGCAGCATAGGTAACTGTGGGTCTTACAACTGCAGTGTGTATCCAGTATATCACCTTTGGTTTCAGTTCCCAAGTTTTCCCACCTGTGCCTAAGCATGTCAAAAATACCTTTTAGGCCTTGCTGATAACCTTATCAAGCTGCTTTTTCCATGTCAGTCCCTTGTCTAATGTTACTCAAAGGTACTTGACTTCACTGGATAGCTGGATTCTTTTACTGAAGAAGGTTGGCTTATTGAGCCCCTTTATGTTCCTGTTCCTAGAAAAAGGTATAACTGCAGTCTTATTTGGGTTGTTAGACAACTTTATTCTTTTACACCACTGCACAGGGCTGTTTGTAAGGCCTCTGACACAGTCTGAAGAAATTTCCCATTCATAAGGACTGCTGTATACTTACCATTACTGTTGAGTTCCCAAAGATCATCATCCATGAGCAGGCTCCACGGCAGAGGTGAAAACACCTCCCTGTGGACACCCTTTCCCCCAGCCAAAGACGCTCCCAGGGTCCCTCCCAGCAATGTAGCAGTTATGTTCCTGATTTCCAGCATAACACAGATCCATCTGCATATTGTAGTCTCAATGCCCTGCTTTTAAGCGGCCTGTTTTGTTATATCAAATGAAGTTCCATCAAAAGCTCCCTCTATGTCAAGGAATGCTCCTAGGGCAATATCCTTCTGCTCAGTAGCACTTTCTGTGTGTTACCACATTGTGAAGTGCAATTTCATTAGATATACCTATTTGGTAAGCATGATGGTTTCGGTGAAGAGGATGAATTGTCAGTACACTGTCCCTAATGTGCCTATCCACTAGTTTCTACATTGCTTTGAATAGAAAGATAACGGGCTGATAGGACGATAAGCCTTGGCCTTGGTGTAATCAAGTTTCCTGGGTAGAGTTTAAAGGATTCTGATGATGGTGTATGCTGTATAGAACTATAAGGTTTATTTTGGACTCTATCCATCGTCTGGTATATATAAGACAAAAAACCACAACGTTTCAGAGACTGGATGTGTCTCCATCCCAACTGAGTAGGTCTATCTTGCCCCATCCACCTGAGGACGGAGACAGATCCGGTCTCCGAAACGTTGTGGTTTTCTGTCTTATATATACCAGACGATGGATAGAGTCCAAAATAAGCCTTATAGTTCTATAGAGTTTCCTGGGCTTTGCAATAAATGTCTCTTTGACCTGCTTCCAGGCCATAAGTATAAATGCATATGCCATGCAGGCTCTAAATATGCAGCACAGGTGTGGGACTAAGTTTTCCATCTCTTGCTACAGAAGCACCGGTACAATTCCATATGTTCCTGCATATTTAAATGGTTTGAAGGTACCTCATGCCCATCTAATTTTTGATTGATTGATCACATATTTGGCCAGGTTCCAATCTCCCCTGTTCGTTATGCTTCTGCATGTGCCCAAGTTCAGCTGACCCTGTCCATCATCAGATCCTCAATCAGTTTGGAATCAGGAAAGTAAATTCTGAATAACTCTTTCTGTGTCCCTTTCCCAGTTTGATTATGCTGACCATCAAGTAGCTTAATAGTGCTAACCTTGTTGGTCGCCTGTTTTGCCATGATCCTTATAAGTCTGGCATTGCCCGGTACATCATTGATCTCCTGGCAATACCACCTCCATGAGGATCATTTGGCTTTCTTTTTTTCTTTGTTGCAACTGGTGGGGTTCTCCTATAGGTGTCCCACTGTCCAGTTTTCTCTATCCGGGCTAAATCTGGGATGTTTCCAAAAGTGAACTGTTATTCACAAGCATCCTGCATGTGGTATATTATAGCCTATGCAGATAACAAAGCATTCCAAGACAATCAAATAAAAGTTAAGGTTAGACAGCACACAAACATTATGTATTTTCATGCCTATCCTTTTATAAATTTTGACAGTAACTTCTGGTGTTCTTAATTTTATATTAATGTGCCTTATATTTTGTTCTTCAAAGCAGATATAAAACATTTGCCTTTTTTCCTTGCCTTACAAACTTAATTCATCAAAGGAAATTGCATTCATGCCTTCTCTGTTGTTTGCAGGATCTGCAGGTAATGAAGCACTGATGTCTCGGCCAGGCACCAACTACTATGAGCGCAGCTGCCTTGTTGCAGGTGGCCCAGGACCTGGAACAAGTCCAAGCAACCCGCAAGGTACACTGTCCAGCCATATGGATACAGTGCCCACCTGAAGCAGTAGTTCAGCATGCAGCATAGCGACTTTCTGTGGGCTGCAGTAAAATGTTCTTTTGTAGTTATATATCCTAGTAAAGTACTTTTGTCTTTCACATTAATGAAGCACACAAGACTGCCTCCTCTATTCACTTCAATCATAATTTGTAACTGGTAACCTCCATCATCATGGTCAAAGAATGAGCCAAGCTTCCTGCCAAAGATAGATGAAAATGGAGGTCTAAAATGTTCTCTAAGTCAGTTGATTTTTAAGAGACTACACAGCGTTATATCGCACAAGATAGAACTCTTCCTAAACTCTTCTGTTAGGATTCTGCTTTCTTATAAGACTTTTGGATCTGTCTGGTCATTCACTGCTAAAATTTAGATTTGTCAGGAATAGGTAAAAATTCCCGATTTGTGACAAACCATATTTCATAATCTGTCAGAAAATTTTGTAGGTTAACATTAAATATATAATATTTCTTTTCTGTTTCTTACAGGAAACATAAGGTAGTTCAATATTCTTCTGTTAAAATTACTGGGATTTTGGACTTTGTCCATCATCTTGTATTCTAAAAACTAGAAAACACAACATTTCTGGAACTTGATCTTCTTCTGTCCTGAGGTAAGGGCAGAGACATCTGCTGTGTTGAGACCCAACAGAGTAGGTGTCTCCGCCCCCTTCACCTGAGGATGGAAACAGAGTCAGTTTCTGAAATGTGTTTTCTAGTTTCTGGAATACAGGACAATGAACAAAGTCCAAAAGCCTGGTAATTATGAGTATTATACATCGTGTCAGAATCTCCTTCTCTTGTTTTCATTTTTCATGGAACTGCAAAACTAATATATTGTTATTTGAGATCTGAGATACCAATGTAAACATCTTGCTTGGCTCTTGAGTCATATCATTCTGCAACTTCAATGTGGTATCTGCAGTATTCCATATTCTACTTTCTGTTTCTGCATTTGAAGTATTTAGTTTGGTTTGGAATAAAAAGATTGTATTTTTTTATCTTCCATAATCCTTTTAACCTCTACATATATTTCAGTTTGGAGTCATATCAACCTTCTTTTGTCTTCCACAAACAGACGCTCAGTAAGTCTTCACACTGGATACAGATCCTGAGATTATTTTATTACTTTTATAAGTAGTTCAAGGTCAAATGTCTGCCAGTATTGTAGTGGTAAGTAGGGTAGTACTATAGTTACTGGAAGATGTACTTCCTAGCCCAGATAAAATTTCAGTGAACTGAAATAATTCTGAAGATAGATTATTGAAGCCACAAAATTATCATTTGTCATTCCCTAAATCATCTCTCCTTCAAATTAACTGAGAAGAAATGATGTGGACCTGTGTTGTCCTTAACCATCCCACATTTTCTGAGATTTTTCGTTTCAGTTCCATCATCTGATACCACTTCCTGCCTGTTTGCCACACTTTGCAGAGCTGGTCAGCTGAAAAGTATTCAGGGTGTTGTAATTTGAACCATGTGATATTCTGCATTAATTGATAGAGTTCAATAAATATACAAAATTTATTGCTCTGGAGTTAATTCTATTCATTCTGGTCTGTCACACAAGTAAAATAAATCATAGAATAATTATTAACACTGCCCAGTGTAATTCAATTTGTACATATTTATTGCCTTTACATGTTTCAGTCAGCTGACCATCTTCAGAAGATCAACATCTTCAGGAAGTACTATTACAAAATTCGTAATACATTAGAAGTTTTTATATAAAAAGTTATTTACAATTATTTGGATTAAAACTTTATTCATGCCTAATATTTAAGATCTTGTGCCCTTGTGTCTCTTCTGTTAAAACAGAATGTTGTGGATGAAAGTTGATTCTTCTTTATTAAACCCTATGTTTCATATGTGTTCTTTTTATCCTGTTTTAAGTTTCACCCTGTTTGCCCAATGCATATCTTGTGACAGCTCTGGAAGGTAATTTTCTGTATGCATGTGTATCTTAATAGTTTGTGTATGGTGGTGGTTATTTTAAATGCTACTTTTAAGTTAACATTCTTAAAAAACTTAGTAATTTTACATATATAAGTTTCCATGTAGGTCAGTGTAACCCATTTTTGTTCAATTTTGGTGTTATTTCCCTGATTATTTTCCTGATATTTCAGTCAATTATGCCAATACAAAATGCCACCCTTCTTCATTCACTCACTCATGGAGCTGAGCCCTTCGTGAGAAGCTGTCAAATCTGCAGCTACTCAAGAATTTCCCAGCATTTTACGGAACCTGAAGGTTCATTACTGTATTCACAAGAGCTCTCCATCTGTCCCTACCCTGAGACAAATCAATCCAATCCATACCATCCCAGCCTATCTCTCTAAGATCCATTTTAATATTGTCCACTCACCTACATCTTGGTCTTCCCAGTGGTCTCCTTTCTTCTGGCTTCCCACCAATATCATATATGAATTCCCCCTCTCCCCCATTCGTGCTACATGCCCTGCCCAACTCATCCAACTTCACTTGATCATTCTAATTACACTTGGAGAAAAGCACAAGTTATGAAGCTCCTCATTTTGCAGTTTTCTCCAACCTCCTGTCACTTCATCTCTCTTTGGTCCAAATATTCTTCTCAAACACCCTCAGTCTATGTTCCTCCCTTAATGTCAGAGACCAAGTTTCACACCCATACAGAACCACTGGCAAAATTGTAGTTTCGTATATTCTAATTTTTATGTTTTTTTTTACAGCAGACAAGAAGACAAAAGGTTCTGAACCGAATGGTAGCAAGCAATACCCAAGTTCAGTCTCCTCTTAATTTCCACCGAAATCAGGTTTTGGTTTCTTATAGTTGTTCCCAAATATATGAAATGTGCCACATTTTCAAAACATCTGTTAGCTATCTTTATGTCATAATTTTGCCCTGCATTTTCGTGACAAGATGGCAACATATACTTAGTTTTCTTTCTGTATAGTTCTAGACCAACCTCCAGACTAGCGTCAATTAAAGTTTGTGTGTTTTCTTTATGGTGTTGTATTTTATGGTTGTTCTTTATGCTACCTATATGATCTTCCAGTAGATTCACATCATCAATATACACCAACAGCTGATGTGTCCCATTTAATTTCAGTTCCACCTAGTTTTCCTGGAACTTCCTAATGGCGTATTCTAATGCAAAGTTGAAAAGCAGTGGCAATAAAGCATCTCCTTGTTTTAGACTATTCTGAATAGAAAAATTATCAGACAAATGTTTACTTATACAGACGTCACCATACATTTTGTTTAAACACATTTCAATTAGCCTTACTAGTTTCATGGGTATCCCATACTCTATCAGAGTATTGTACAATACTATCCTCCTAAATGAATCGTAGACTTTCTTGAAGTCTATGAATAGCTGATGTACTATCTCATTGAGCTCCCATTTTTTCAGCAGTATCTGATGAATGCAAAAGATCTAATAAATAGTTGATCTCTTATGTCAAAACCCACACTGATGATCCCCAATAATTTCATCTATATATGGACTTAACCTTGTGAGAAGAATACTGGATAAATTTCGTATGAAGTTGATAGCAGTGATATCCCATGATAATTACTACAGTCAGTTTTATCACTCTTCTTATGAATTAGTGCAGTAATAGACCCTTCCACTGACCAGGCAACTTTTTTATGGATCTTAGAATGTAATATTTCATCTCCTGCTTGAATAAGTTCTGCTGGAATTTCATCACTACCTGACGATTTATACCTTTTCAAATTTGCAGTAGCAATTTCAACCTCAAAAGGGCTAGGATCAGGTACTAACCCCTCAGCTATATATATTTCTATCTGCCTGACATCACTGACCCTATGTACATTCAATAATTGAGTGAAGTAGTTCTTCCACCTATTCAAAAAGTTGTGGGAATCTGCAAGCAGATCACCATTCTCATCCTTTACTAAGTTACTTCTAGGTTGGTAACACCTCTTGAAGTCATTTATTCCCCTATACAGGTGTCTAATGTTCTTGTTTTTACTGTTAATTGCAAGCTCATTAATTTTGTCTTTCAGATATTCCCTTCTTTTTATTCCTGAAATACCTGCTGGTTTCACATCTTTATTGTTCAGATTATCCCCATTTAACTCACTTGGATCCTGTTACCACTGCAGTTTGGCTTGTTTCCTTTGGTCTAATATTTTTAACCATACCTTGTCAAACCATGGCTTATGCTTCAGTTTGTAATAACCTAGACTCTCTCTGGCAGAAATTATGATATTCTCTCTAATGGTTTCCCAAGCTTTATTAATATCCACCTCAGTGTCTAAGTTTCCAAGGCTGCTAACCTATTTGAGATTTCAACACAATACTGCTCCTTACCCTCTACCTTATTTAATTTCTTGAGATTGAACCTCTCCATATGTACTCTGTGTGTTGTTCGTTTGCGCACTGCCAGTCTTTCCCTAACCCTTGACACCACCAAGTAGTGGTCAGCATCACAATCTGCTGCCCTGAATGATTAGACATCAAGTATACTAAAATGTCATCTCCTATCTATCATATTATGGTCAATTATATTGCATCAGGAAATTCCCATCAGGAAGTGTCCAAGTACATTTATGAATGTTACAGTGTGGGAACATTGTACTTTTGACTCTAAGATTTTTTGTTGTGACAAAATTTACTACTCTGATTCCATTATCATTACTTATGTCATGTAAACTCTCATTCCCAATTGTTGGTTTGAAAATATCTTCCCTACCTACATTCATTACTTACTTACTCATGGAGGTGATCCCTTCTGGAGGAGCTGCCAATTCTGCAGCTATTCAAGAATTTCCCAGCATTTTATGGAACCTGAAGGATCATTATCATGTTCACAAGAGCCCTCCACTGGTCCCTATCCTGAGCCAGATCAATCCAATCCATACCATCCTATTTCTCTAACATCCATTTTAATATTGTCCACCCACCTATGCCTTGGTCTTCCCTGTGGTCTCTTTCTCCCTACCTACATTAGTGGTGAAATCTCGCAACAACAGTTTCATACAGTACTTTGGGAATTTATCAAAGACGTGTTCTAGTTCTTAGTAGAACCTGTCCTTTATATCATCAATTTTATCTCCTCTTGGAGCATGAACATTCAGAATGATGATATCATGCTAGTGACCTCGTAGTATTATGTATGATATCCTGTCACTAATGGACCCTACCCTCTTAGTTGCTGATACGATTCTCTTATGTATGAAAAAACCTGTACCCAATTCATGATTTTCATTCCACTTTCCACAAAAAAAAAAATTATATTCGCCTGCTGATTCAGTGCCACTTCCAGCCCATCTGACCTGTACTCCCACTAAATCTAACCTATATTGAGATTTCTTCCGCCAATGGCCTGAGTGAACCTGCCTTATACACTTCCAACATTCGAAGTACCAAATCTCATATCCATTTTCTTTAGCTTATGAGGGAATGCATCCAGGTCCGAGGCTTCTTATGGTCTTTCGTAACAAGCTTATTTTTTACAGCGAGCAGTTATTAGCCCCACGCCCAACCCCCAAGCTGGAGGACCACCCCTTGTCTGCTGCCCACAATTGCTTATTCAGTATATTCACAGCTACTTCTTATATCCATTATTTAGTGCTATGTTTATTATAGAGTTCAGTTCCTTCCTTTTATTACTTCTGTTGAGGGGCAACATAAGGGGTCTGTGTATCCAGTTTTTGTACGCCGCAAATTTGTATTCTTTCGGATGGCATGAGATGTTATTTATCATAATGTCTGTCGCTGTAGGTTTTCTGAAAATTTCCACTTCTAATTGTCCTTATTTGGGGGCACACAGTAGTGTAGTTGGTTGAGACACTATGCTACATGGCTTCAAGTCCTGATGAGGTGGATTTTTTTTTAATTGACCCAATCCTTCCAGCCACACTATGGCCTTCAGGTCGACTCAGTCTCTAACAGACATGAGTACCAGGAATCTTCATGGGAGGTAAAGGGCGGCCGGCACATAAGGCTGACAACCTTACCACCATCCGTGAGCTGACTGTATAGATAAAATGTGGGAGCCTCGACGTCTCACAACCCTAATGGCCTTCACGGCCTGTTACAGGGATAGCTTTACAGTTTTTTTTAATTATTCTCATTTATTAACTAAGTTCGAATCTAGGTAAGCAATTTGGTTATCCATTTCTTCATGTATTGTGAAGTGTGGATGTCTATGTTGTGCATTACATTGTTCAAGTATGGTCTTGGTTGTAAGATTTGAGGCTTTCACGGCGGTGACTATGAAGAAAGCAGTCTTCTGGGATTTGGCACCGTGTATATGTGGTGTTAACCGACGTTTCGGAGGAACGTATCGCCTCCATCTTCAGGGTAGAAGAAAAAATATAAGAAATCTGCAAGCAAAGAGACCGTGAGAACCGGTAAAAGCAG